TGAACGTATGGGGATACACATCTAGTGGCCCTCGGCCCATCCTGCCACCGTTCCTGGGTAGGGGGTTTAAAGCTGATTTGATGGTCGTTGGGATCTCGTGGGGGGCTTCTCGGGGGCCTCTTGGAGGCAGTTTGGACGCCTCTTGGGGGCCGTTTGGGGGCCTCTTGGGGCCTCTTTTGGGTGTCTTGGGGTCCCTTTGGGGCCTCTTGGGGGCTTCTTGGGGCCTCCTGGGCGCCTCTGGGGACCTCTTGGGGCGGAAGGCTTGGATTTTCGGTTCGTGTTCCCTCTTTTGGGCCCTTTTGGGCCCGTCTTGGCCCGTTTTGGGCGCCTCTTGGGCTGTGTCGGGGCCGTTTTTGGCCGTCTTGGGGCCCTCTTGGGGACCTCTTTGGCCGTCTTGGGGCGGTCTTGGGGCCTCTGGGGCCGTCTGGGATCGTCGGGAAACCGAAAAAGAGAAAACGCCCAAATTCGCTAAAGCCCATCGGGAAATCAATGGTTTTGGCCCCTTGGCCTATTAGGAAGCCTCTTGCAGGCCTCTTTGGGCGTCTTGGAGGCCTCTGGCTGGGCCGTCTGGGGGCCATCTTGGGAGTCTTGGGCCGTCCGTCGGGCGTCTCGGGGCCCTCTTGGCCCGTCTTGGGGCCCTCGTGGGCCCGAATAAGTCACGCGGGCACGCTCGGCCAGGCCCAGGGGAGCCGCGCCACGCCCCAGGAAATCTGAGAGCGAGGGGTCTGGGACCCTGGCAGTCTCCCCACGGGTAAGGCTTGAGGCTTAGAGCGTGGTATCAGGACCTGAGGGCACGCCCACTCCGTTCCTGGCGGCACGGTGGCGCGATATACATATATATATATACACATATATATATATATATATATATATATATATATACATTTGTATATATGTATATACAAGACTGCAGTGGCGCTTCGCGCCATGCACCTCGGTCCTTGAAGTTTGGTTTCAGGCGGAATGGCAGGAAGGTCGAGCCGACGATTTAGCGATAACTCCTTGTTGCCTTTTCCAGCATCGCCGCTAAAATTATGCTATTCGTTATCCTTCCTCCATGTTTCTTTTTCCTCATTCTCGCCATACCCTGCGCATTTTCCCCATGCGGAGGCTCCTCCTTGGAGAGCCTCTGGGGGCCTCACAAAAGTTTCAGGCTTTCTTAAGGCCTTCTGGAGGCCTCCTGGGCGTGTTCTGGAGGTTCTGGGGGCTTCCTCGGGCCACCCTGCCTCCAACCGCGGTCTCCCTGAACGACCGGGTCACGATTTGCAATGCTTCGGAGGGTGTCTTGGGGCCGTCTTGGGCCGCCATGGGGCTCTCTTAGGGCCATCTTTGAGCCCTGTTGTGCCGTTTCGGGGCTCTCTTGGACTGCCTGGAAGCCCTTTCAGATGGTTGTGGGGCGATTTTGGAGCCTCCCAGGCGGCTTCGGACGCCCAAAAGACTGCCGTATTGGAGCGTCGGGAAGCCGAAAAGCGGAGAACCCTAAAATTCACCAGAAACCTTCAAAAAATACATGATTTTTGCCTGTTGGGGCCTTCTTGGGAATGCTCTTGGAGGCTTTTTGAAGCCTTTGGGGCCGTCCTGGAGGCCTCTTGGGCTATCTTGAGGTCACGTCGGTCACTCTTGGAGCGCTCTTGTGCTGTCTCGGGGGTCTCTGGGACGTCTCCGATGACCCCTTGATCGCACTCGATGTGCTGGGAAGGCTTGGCAGAACGCCCTGCGAGGCCCGGGGGGCCGCTTCGAGGCCCGTCCAGAGGGTCCCAAGCCCCAGATCCCGGGAGTCCGTTTGTTTTTTTGGGTGGGTGGGTTTTATCCCCTCGCCCGGGCTTAAGATATAGGAAGAGGACTATATATAGAGAGAGAGAGAGAGAGAGAGAGAGAGAGAGAGAGAGAGCGACAGAGAGAAATAGAGAGAGAGAGAGAGAGAAACAGAGACAGAGAGCAACCACTCCCCCCTTTCCATTTTCTCATCTGCGCTTGTGCGTGGGGTGTGTGAGTGTAACCGCTGCTTCCTCCCTTTGCCCTCTCTGTGTTGCGTGCGGGTGTGGGAAGCCAGAGAGAGAGAGAGAGAGAGAGAGAGAAAGAAAGAGAGAGCAACCACTGCCTCCACCATGGTCCCCTGCTACAATTGGGGGGTGGTGGCTGCCCTCCTACACTCCTACACAGGACACGAGGGGAAATGGCAGGGGGTATCGGTTTCCCTCTCGCACCCTGCGGGCCCAAAACGGATGGGGGGAAACGGCGGAGGCAGTGGTTGCTCGCTCTCTCTCTCTCTCTCTCTTTACCTCTCTCTCTCTCGCTCCCTCTCTCCCTCGCTCTCTCTTCATTCACACGCACACGCAACACATCATGGGCAATGGGAGGTAGCTATCGGTTACCCCCCCCGCGCACACGCAGAGGAAGAACTGGACAGTGGGGAGTGTTTTCGCTCTTCTCTCTCTACCTCTAGTTTCTTTTGCGGGTTTCATTCTTGTTTGCTATAGTTTTCTCTCCATCTTCCCGGCAAATCTGAGATCCGTCCATCGATATACATCGTGAGCGAAGGAGGGGCGAGAGGTCGCGAGATCGAAACAGGAAGAGATGGACAAGCCAGTGATGCACACGCACACACACACATACATATATAGACATTTATGTAGGTATATCCGTGTTTCTATATAGAGATATACAGAGAGAGAGAGAGAGAGAGAACAGGAGAAAGAGAGACGGATAACGAACATCCGCCGAACAACCACTGGAATGTCTAGAAACGAAGTCGGCTTCGATCAGGAATCTTCGGGAGGAGTGAATGAGGAAGGGAAGGGGAGGATGAGACGAAGTAGGAGAAGAGGGCGGAGCCAGAGGGGCAAACGGAGAGGCC